CAAAGAAGAACCCCTGATGGTCCTAACTGCTGCACGCCATGTTTAGCAACTCTCTTTAAAACATGAGATAACTGGACATTTTAAGGGCGTGGTCAGGTATGTCAAATGGTATGACCTCAGAAAAACATTAACAATTTATGATAATTATAAAAATTTGTATTCACTTTGAAAATTAGATTTGAAATGTTCACACCAGGAAATGGGCTTACATAGGTCTCAATGATAATGCCTGTCAAATTTGATTTGAAGTGGAAATGTCAAATGGTGACAAGCCTTTCTGTTAGAGGCCACTTTTGTCAAATATCAGTATTTCTTAATGTTGATTAAAGTGGTTATCCATCCACAACCTTATTATCAAGGGTCTAGGACAAAATACCCTGGCATTTTGTAAATGTTTAGCTTCAAATTGCATATTTGTGTTCCATTTACTTACATTTATAAAGGTGCACTATGTAGTTTTGGTAGAGAAGTGTGAATGTTGGAGAAATTTACAGATTATGTGGTATATGTCCATCATAACTCTAAACACAAACTGTCCTCAGATGGAAATTTGGTCCCTGTGACACTGTTTGAAGATAAAATGTTACTGGAGAAGTTATGGTGGTGGGCCCGCAACAGTGAAAGCGTAACTCTCCTGGTAGCTTTATATCTCCAAACAGAGTTCCAGGGACCCATTTTATACTTTGATTAAAGTTTGTGTATTCAAGTTCAGAAAATATATCAAAGAATTGTTTTACTTCTCCAACTTTCAAATTTCACCACCAAATCTACATAGTGCACCTTTAAACATGTATGATCTAATATGTGTATGTATGCTGTAATATTGGCACCAGCAGTTGCATTTTAGATGTGTCGGCTATTAGGGGCCATGTGGTAGGGTAGGTAGTATCAGCGTGTCACTACCTGGAGCTTGCTTGCCAAAGTCTGGTACTATAGAAGGTGGCAATGCTGTTTGTGCTGTGATGGCCATGATGTAAAGAAAGAGAGATGTAAAGTGTTGCCTGTGGGTATGTTATCCTTTGATTAGGGCACAAGTACCTTGAGTTTATTCCAAATACTGAAGAAATGAATTCCCCCTGAAGATTTTGGTCAGATGTTGTAATTTACTTAAGATATGAATTAATTAAGGGTGCACCGATCCAGCCAGATCAGGTATCAGTAAGAATTTGCCGATCTATGAGACCCATCCAAAAGGCCGATCTATTCACTTCAGTTTTATGCTATTCTGTGTTTAAGACAAACGTGCTACATTACTGTCTTCAGCGTACTGGTATTCTGTGCACTTTGGAAGGTGGAGCAAACATTAAATGGAGGAAGCTAACAACAATTTCTTCAAGAAACAATGACCTTTGACTGTAGAAGCAGTATGGTCAGTTGGTGTAACTGGTTTGCGTCAATTGGTGTAACCAGTATTTCTTGTGAAAAATATAATAAAATGCAGGACAATTAAATTTGAATAAAAGTAGTCCTCTATTGCAGTGAAATAACATGTTTTTTAAAACAATTTTCACATAATTTGCCAAAAATGTATTAGAAAACAGAGGTGTTTTCAACTTTGTGTCCCGCTCAGTATTGAAGAAAGGCATAACTTATAAATTTAGTGATAATCCTAATAAAATCAATTTTCTTGTGCTATTTTAAAATGAAGTAATTACAATCATGAGTACACTTACATATACTCTAGATGTATAAAATATTCAATATTCTTAATTTTTCAGTGGTTACACCTCTTGACATTTTTAGGTCCATTTAGTCTTACCTTTTGAAAAAAAAGGTTTAAATGTCATTTTAAAAAACACAAAACCAACATGAATACAAATCTCTCATTTTAATGAACCTGATGCATGCTTTCAAATTGTGTTTTTAAAAGATTTTTGAATTGGTCATCTGAACAATCCTTATTTGTCACTGGAAAGTGACAAATACAAGGCTGGAAGGTGTGAAGCACAGGGGTGTTGTTTGAGTTGGGTTGGGGGGAGGGAAAAAATAGAAGGGGAGGCAGGGAGGTGTGAAGGACAGGGGTGTTGTTTGAGGTGGGAGAGGCAGATGAAGGCTCATTCGCCCTCTCCAGGCTGCCAGAATGTTGCCTTTCTCTCCCCTTGAAACCAGTGATTTCCCTCATTCCAGTCCACACATCCCTCACGTTGTTCTGATGGAGTTTGGCCTCCAGCTTTCTCCTGTATGAGTCCTTGCACTCCCTCAGCTTTTCCCTCAGATCGTGCTGTACCCTTTTCAGCTCCTCCCGGTTTCCAGACCTGAAGGCTTGTTTCTTTTTGTTGAGAAGGGCATTCAGGTCACTGGTGATCCAGGGTTTGTTGTTAGGAAAACAGAGTACAGTCCGGGCCGGACTGTGATGCAGTCAGTCATGCTGTTAATGTCCTCTCCATGTGGCTCGCAGAGTACATCCCAGTCTGTGGACTCAAAGCAGTCCTGCAGTGCCTCATTGCTCTCCTGTGTCCACCTCCTAACAGTACTTGTGGTCACAGGCTGCCTTTGGACCAGGGGGATATACTCTGGTGTCAGTAAGACCAGGTTGTGGTCTGATCTGCCCAGGGGAGAAGGGCAGTGGTACTGTATGCTTCTTTAACGTTAGCATACAGAAGGTCCAGTGTTTTATTTTCTCTAGTTGGACAGTTAACATATTGATGAAGAGTGGGTAGTGTTTTGTCCATTTTCACATGATTAAAGTCCCCAATAATGGCTACAAAAGCATTTGGATGCTTAGTTTGAAGCTGTGAAACAGTAGAGTGAAGTGCATCACTCGCAGAATCGGCATCAGCTGACGGTGGGATGTAAACAGCTATAACAATGGCATACGTGAATTCCCTGGGCAGGTAATATGGGCGCATTCCCACAGCTAACAGTTCAATGTCCGGGCTGCAGAGACGTTCCTTCACACTAACATTGCCAGGATTACGCGTCGAGTTCGTCCGTCTTATTGCCCAAAGACCTTACGTTCCCCATAATCACCACTGGTACATAAGGCTTATGCTTTCTCTTCTTAGCTCTTCTCTTAGCTCCAGCTCTGCAACCCCGGCGTCGCCTCCTCAGCTCCCTCGGAATTACAGGCCTTGCTCCGGGCAGTAGCACCTTGGAGAGCACCATCAGCTGATTACGTGTGTAAACAATGCCCTCACTCATCTGTGCGCTGCTCTACGTTACAAAGAATGTCCAAAGTAACAGAAAAACAGCGCAAAAATTTCCAACAGCGAAAGTAGCCATTTCCACACAATAGATTAAACTAATACTCAAAAAACACACAGTGAAAACAAATAATAACTAATCAAAAAATACGATTTAACGACACGGACAACGGGAGCTGCTGCAACCGGCGGCCACCTCACACAGCGCCGGAGATATCAGTCAACAACAACGATACCAGGAACTTGAGGAATGAGGTTTTTAATTTGAAGAAAGCAGAGAAGGAAGTGACATTTGTTTTCATTGAAGTCAGCAAAAGATTTGTAAGCAGTAAAATTTTGCACTAAAAAAAATGTCTGCAAAGGTCAAAATCAGTTCTTTCACCAGCAGAGGGCGGTTGTGTTTTCTAAAGTTTTTTAAATGGCCATCGTAAGGTCGTCAAAAACACTTTTAGAAACTACTTGTTTAAAACAATGCAATCTCTGTTATTTTGATGATCGATTGTAGGGCAGTCACTATTTGTGTGTGTTTGAATGTGAGGTCACAGGACTTTATATGTTTTAACCAAGTTTCTTAGTGTCTACGTCCTTATTTGGACTTCATTTCTAACTTCCTGGTACCGTCGTTGTTAACTGACCATGCCCTGCAAGGTCAAAATAATTAAATTGAATGCCTGCTGGAGGTCCCAGCATGGGGAAGCCAACAAAACCACATCATCGGCAGAGATGACATTTTGAGGCCCCCAAAACTGGAAACCCTCGTTCCCCGGGCTGCTCCTTGAGACCCTGTCCATGAAAATCACAAACAGAACCAGTGACAAGGGGCAACCCTGGCGAAGGCCTTCACGCACCGGGAACGTGTCTGACTTTGTGTCGAGGTTGCAGCCACAGCTCCCACTGTGGTCAAACATGGCCCAATATCCATATTCCTGCAGTACCCCCCGAGGGACAGGATCACAAGCCTTATAATAATAATAACTTAGATTTATATAGCGCCTTTCATGAAACCCAAGGACGCTTTACAAAGTGGGGGGAGGGGGGCGTGATGGAGGCAAGAAGAAGAACAAATGAAGGAGAAAGGAAGTGGGTGATCAGCTAGGGGGCGTGTTAGATGAGGCTGAATGCTTTGGTTAACAGGTGGTGTTTGAGGAGGTTTTTAAAAATGACCAGAGATGCAGCAGTGCGGATTTCGGCGGAGAGAGAGTTCCAGAGGGTGGGGGTTGAGGCACTGAAGGCTCTGTCACCAAAAGATCGCAGTTTGGTGTGAGGGGTGGAGAGCAGGCCTGTGGCTACCCCGGCTAGTCAAGGGCTGGGGGATATAGACCAAAACTCATATCTATATCGATATTATTGTCAAAACCTATATCGTTGAAATAAATATTTTAAAAACGTAATATATTTCCCAGCCCTACCGGCAACACAGCTCCAGGGTTCATCAGAACACGCAAGCTCCTCCACCATATTAAGGTGACAATTCTTGGAGAAGCTGTTCAACAGTGAAAGTTCAAATTCACAGCCCATTGTAGCACTTGAGCTTTCCAATGTGAAAGTGTTCATTGTTACTTACAGCTCTCACCAAATATAAAACTGAATACAATAATCATGTCTTCATGACGGGGTGTGCATGAGGGGTTGGACAAAATAATACATCGGCGGGATAGAATAAGACAGTGGGATGAAAGACAAAACATCAGGTCTTTAGTACTAAAAAATATTGACCGGTTTTAATGATCCTTTGCAGAGAGTTGTACTTGCATCTTAAACATTAACACTGATTGAGATCTCTATACTTCCTATTTACAAAAATACTTAATATTTGAATACAAATAAAAATATTTCTTTCTTTCACTTTGTTTAGATATGGCTGCTGCAAACTATCATCGGCCTGAGGATCAGTTTCTCTGCTCCATCTGTCTGGATGTATTCAATGATCCTGTTAGCACATCATGTGGACACAACTTCTGCAAAACGTGCATCACTGAACACTGGAATACCAGCGACCAGTACAGGTGTCCAATTTGTATGGAAGCTTTCACTAAAAGACCTGAGCTGAGGATCAACACTTTGCTCTCTGAGATTGTTGGTCAGTTCAGAGACAAAGCTCAGCAGGGAGCCAGAAGCAGCAGCTCAGAGCTACAAGAGTCCAAACCAGGAGAAATTCTCTGTGACGTCTGCACTGGAACCAAACTGAAGGCCCTGAAGTCCTGGAAAGATGTGGCTCAGCTGGATGAGACTCTCAGTGAAGAGATGAAGAAGTTGGTTCAAACTGAGCTGAAGAGAGACCAGCAGTATGCTGTGGATGTAACTCTTGATCCTGATACAGCACATCCTAATCTCATCCTGTCTAAAGGTGGGAGACAAGTTTATCTTGGTGATGTGACAAAGAATCTACCAGACAACCCAGAGAGATTCTCTTCTTGTGTTTACGTTTTAGGAAAGCAGAGTTTCTCTTCAGGCAGATTTTACTTTGAGGTTCAGGTTAAAGGAAAGACTCGTTGGGATTTAGGAGTGGTGCTCCAGAGTCCATCAACAGGAAGGGAGAAATCACAGTAAGTCCTGAGAAAGGTTTCTGGACTATATGGTTGAGAAATGGAAATTAATATGAAGCCCTTGATGACCCTTCAGTCCGTCTTTCTCTGAAGTGTCGTCCTGAGAAGGTGAGGGTGTTTGTGGATTATGAGGAGGGTCTGGTCTCCTTTTATGACGTTGGTGCTGCAGCTCTGATCTACTCCTTTACAGACTGCTCCTTCACTGAGAAACTCTTCCCCGTCTTGGGTCCTTGTCTTATTGAAGGAGGTAAAAACTCTGCACCTCTGATCATCTCTCCTGTCAGTTTGAAATAATCAAAGACTTCATGTATTGATTCTCATCAGAGTACATACCATCCTATTTAGTGACAACACGGTATATTTGACATCTTTGACAGAATAAGATCATCGTGTTCATTGACTGACTTTATAGTTCAGAGGTTTGTCCTCGTAAACACAGCAGGTAACAAACTGATTTGATTGACTCAGCTCATCATCAAGACGCATCATTTATGTGATAACATTTATTTTAACCCTTTAAACTTCACTGACTTCCAACTTCAGATCGAGAGGAAAAAACTGCAGAAGACAATAATTCAATAAGTTTATATTTGTCTGAAATGTCTTTGGTGTCTCTTCGACTGAGTTCTGCTGTACGTATGATAGTGTTGATAAAAAGTCAAAGAAATCTGTAAATGTGATTTTGAAAAAAAAACTTCTGACCCAGAACTTCCACCAGATACGTGTGCTTTGTGTGTCCGCTCCCTCATCTGTCAACACCCACAGGCTGAGTTCTCAGAGCGCAGCACGGAGCAGCACTACCGGACAGCTGGAGTCACCAGACCAAGGAGTTCCCACGGTAAGTACAGAATCAAGCGCAACATCGAGAGATAATACGATGTATGAGGTATAAAACCGTTAGAAACACAACAGCAAACACACAAACACAATCATGCCGTTATTGTCCGTTATTATTGATCCTCAGAAGGAGTTACGCTGCACGTTTAAATTTTGCGACAGTGATGATGTCACTGTCGACAGCTGGAGGGTGAGCCGAGACGTGTCCGAGATGTCTTTTTTATCGTGCTGAATGACTGCGCTATATAATCCACTACATGTAACTTCCTGTTTAGTGAGAAGGCAGGAGGGAATGAGTGTATGATTTCAGACACGACTTAAGAATGACATTCAGTTTCCTGTTTTCACTGTTTGATTTCTGCACCGTTTCTTCTACAAGTTTTCAAAACTAGGAAGAAAATAAAGCTTTAGTTTTCTAATCTATAAGTTGATCCTTATTCTTTCAAACATAAAATGAACACCTGGTATTTCAGTGTCTCTCTCTCTCTCTGAAGAAAAGTCAGGTTCATAGATACAGAAAATTATTTAATTCTGAACATTTCCAGAAACCACACAGGCCTCGTGGTGTCAGACCACTCCTACAGGACTCGATTCAATTCAAACAACTTAAATAATCCCTCTTGGGGTAATTGGTGTGGAGCAGCTTGTACATATGAGAGAAACATAAATAAAGGCAAGTTGACGTACAAAGAACAGATTACTCAAGGAGTTAAAATATAGATAAGACCTGAAGGAGATACTAATGCTAAGGAGCATTCAGTAATCAGATCACAAAAAGAGTTAAAATCTCTCTGTTTCACACCTTAGAACAGATTTGAACAATTCCTGTACGACTGTTTCTGTCTTTAACTGAGAGGCTGTGAAACCAACAGATAAAAGAAAAACAAAGGAGACTCTCAACAAAAGAATGATAAAAATGACAAAGTATTTCAGGACTGACTGAGAAAGAGTCCAGTTTCCTTAAAAGGTGGATTCTCTGTTGCCCCCTCTTCACAATAGCCTTAGTGTTGACATCAAATTTAAGTTGGTCGTCCAAACACGAGCCCAAGTATTTGTAAATGGAATGGTAAATGGACTTGAGCTTACTGTACAGCGCTTTTCTAGTCTTCTGACTACTCAAAGCACTTTTACACCGCAGGTCACACCTACACATTCACACCCTGATGGTAGAGGCTGCTGTGTAGTGAGACCATCAGAAGTAACTAATACCATTCATACGCATTAACACGCCGCCGACGAAGCAGCGGGAGCAATTTGGGGTTAAGTGTCTTGCCCAAGGACACATCGGACATGTGGCTGCAGGAGCTGGAGATCGAACCCCCGACCTTCCGGTTAAGAGACAACGACTCTACCAACTGAGTTGCAGCTGCCCTGTGGAGATAGTACGACCCTACAATCTCCACAGTTTTATTATGGATGCTGCACTCTGTGGCTGCCTCCCTCTTAAGTCTAAAATAAAAGAGTAATTCCCTGCTACACTGCTGCAGCAACAACAGGCCTCCATGTAGACCTCTGACTGCTGCTATGACACACAACGACCACTAGATGGAGCCCAACATGAAGATACAAGAAGTGATCAGTTCTGTTCTGCTGCCACAACAAGCACCAAACTCTCCTGATACATGAGAGTGACTGTAATAAATGTATGAACTCTAGCATCTTATTCACAAAGAAGATACAATGACTTTAATGAGACTCTTCTTCTTCTCAGATCAGATCAGTCTATTGAAGCTGGTATTTCACAACAGCCCTGTGACTCAGAGGGAAGAAACGAGCTGCAGTTAGAGGAGGAGCCACAGCTGAGGGAGGAGAGCTTCAGCATCACTCTGAAGAAATGAAACTTAAAGTTTGTCAGGGTGTCGACCACGCAGCCGTCCAGAAAGGTCTCCGTTTCTCTTCAAAGAAATTACACTAACTTCATCCAATCTTTGTCAACGACACAGCAGAGTCTCTGCAAACACTGGTGAGTACAGCTGATCATGTTTACACTTTGAACAACCAGGATTTACACTCAACTTTTAATTTCACTCTCTCTTCATACTCAAGCTTGTTAAACTGTGTGTGTGTGTGCGTGTGCGTGCGTGTAGTTCTTTGTAACCAAGTTTCTTTCATTTGGACATTAGTTCATCTCTAACTTCCTCGTATCGTTGTTGTTCACTGATAACATCCTGCAGTAAAACACGTTGTTTCTAAAAGTGTTTTTGGCGACTCAACAATGGCCTTTTTTTAAAAACTGTACAAAACATGAGTGCCCTCTGCTGGTGAAAGAGCTGATTTTTACCTTTACTGTTGTGTAGGCAGATTTTTTAGTGCAGAATTTTACTGCTGACAAATCTTTGCTGAAATTTAAATTCCTTCTCTGCTTTCTTAAAATTAAAAGGCTCATTGTGGTTTCTCCATGTCAAGGCTCTTACTGTGAAACAGCCAGAGGAAATAGAATTCAGTTTGGCTGCAGGATGTTATCAGTGAACAACAACAATACCAGGAAGTTAGAAATGAACCAAAGTCCAAATGAGAGAAACTCAGTTACACAAACACACACATTCCTGTATATGCTCACAAGTGAGGTCCTGAACAGTTTATATTGGGAGTGGGGACCACCCTTTCTGCTACACTTAGAGGCAAATGGATTACATATTTAACATTAGGTGTCTTCCTCATTCAGGTTTTCAACTTGGCTTATTAAAAATCGTAAAGGAAAATTATCTGAAATAGAGGGGTGTACGAAAGGCTCTTGGTGTGATGACATCATAGCCCCGCCCCTTCGACTATGTGCTGTTCTACTCACTACATGTAGTTCAGTTAAGATAAGATAAAATAAGATATACTTTATTCATCCCAGCAGGGAAATGTAGGTGTTCCAGCAGCCAGCATACATACAAACACACAACACAACACATATATACATACATATCCCACCCATACAAAAAAACATGAGCCCACAATACAGTTTGATATATGATATATGCAACTCAGGCTAACGTTTAAAAGTTTAAATGTCTTCTGTCCTTACTTAAAGGGGAGTTGTTATAAAGTGCAATTGCAGTAGGTAAAAAAGTATTTTTAAATCTGTCCTTTTTGCAGTTTAGCTGCCGTAGCCTCCCACTAAAAACACTCTTCACACACGAGATTGTGTAAGGGATGCATGTTATTGTCCATAATGTTAAACAGTTTCTATATCATCCTTCTCCCTATCACCACCTCCAGGGGCTCTACAGCAGTCCCCAGACCAGCAGAGCCAGCCCTCCTAATCAGCTTGTTAAGCTTTTTAGAGTCACAAGCCCCGATGCTGCTGCCCCAACAGACGGTTGCAAAGAAAATGGCACTTGCCACAACAGTCTGATAAAACATGGATAACATTTCGCTACACACATTAAAAGACCTAAGCTTCCTCAAGACGTAGAGTTTGCTCTGACCTTTCTTTTAGCATGACGTCACATGCTGTGTCGGCATCAGCTGATGGCGGTATGTAAACAACAATGGCAACAGCACAGGTAAATTCCCTCGGGAGATAGTATGGACACAGACTAACGGCTAACAGTTCGATGTTAGGGGTGCAGATGCGCTCCTTTATATTAATGTGAGAAGGATGACACCATCGGTTATTCACAAGCAGAGCAAGCCCCCCTCCTCTCTTTTTACCGCTCAGCCTGTGATCCCGGTCAGCCTGTACAGTCATAAATCCATTCATTGTTGTGTTTGCGTCCGGAATATTCTCCTGCATCCATGTCTCGGTGAAACACATTAAACTGCATTCTCGGTATTCACGCTGTGATCTTATGAGTGCTCCGAGTTCGTCCACCTTGTTCACCAGCGACCTCACATTCCCCATGACAATCGAGGGGATGCAGGGCTTGAACCTTCTCCTCCTTGCTCTCCTTATAACACCGGCTCTGCATCCTTGGCGTCTTCTCCTTAGCTCCTCTGGGATTTCGTGTCTCGTTCCCGTCAAAGGTAGTGGTTTGGAGATCGCTAACAGCTGGTCACGCGTGTAAACAATACTGTTAGTATGCGTTGGCATACTGTCCCAACACGAAAAAATATATAAAAACGGTAAAAGCTAATAAAACTCAACTAAGCTACTTAGTGTCCATCTTGACTAACTCATAGGCTATGACAGGTGACTTGACACGTAACAAAACACTTTAAAAACACTTAAAATGCAAGACAAAAACCGGAGCTGCTGCAACAGGCTGCCACTAGCGCGGCGCCAGCAGTTGTCTGAATCACCAGTTGTGTGTTAAGTGCTGCATTGTGTGCGTCCATAAGAATCTAGTAAGTACTGGAAGTATATTTGATTTAGTTGATGTTCTATGTTCAGAAGTATTAAAGTGAGATTACAGAGCTAGCAATTAGTGCGCTAGCGATTAGCATACTAGCGGTTAGTTTAGCGATTAGCTTGCTGGCTAGCACATGGCCAATTATTAGTAACGTTTTGCTGTATGTTTAGCTAATAAGGCTTATATGTGCACCCTAATTTATCTTCTGTGTTGTCAACATGATTGCTTATCCCAATGGGTTTACATTTGATTACTTGTGCTAATAGTGTGTTATAGGCTACTGCACTTTGTATTAGCAATAGAATATCAGTGATCTTTAATCCATTGACAGTGTTTAATTTCTGCCTTTATTTCATTGCAGACCACACATATACTTGCACACTCTTACACACACACACACACACACACACACACACACACACACACACCCAGACAAACAGCTACGCATGCCCAGATACTGTACCCACTTGGCTTTATATCAAGTATACTGGAAATAAAGGAGACAACTCAAGAAGGAAAGCTGCTTCACTGGTATTCTTACCGACCTGAACAACACTCACCATCCATACCCAGCATTACAGTCCTAACCTGGTCCTCACCTACAAGGGGTTAATAGACATGATGCATTATACAATGCAAGATGTACAATTTAGTGGACATCAATTTTAATTTTCTCAAAACCCAAAGTCAATACTTGGGAAGTTTGACAATAATACTGTTCCTTAGCTTTTTCTTGATGTGCCAAAAATCATCAAGTGATCTAGAATAGCAGGATGGGGAAGATATTCCTGAGCTACGTGGCACTGATAACTTTCCATCGGCCATCTTGATTTTGAAGTACACTTACTATGGCTGGCCAGTGGGTGTGAGTATATGGGATGACTTGCTAATATCCACTAATGAGGCTAATGTGAAACCATTCTATCAAAACCCCTGCATGTGGCAGAAAACAGCTCTTGAACAGCTCTCAAATGTAGTGACCATAATGTGGGCTAAGTTGATTCAAGCTCATTTCACAAGCACCAAATATTCTAATATAAACGCCTCAAAAAAAGTTTGGAAACGTTATTTCCGTCAATGATTTTGTGATGTAACATTTTTAAGTTTATTTTATTCTGAAAAGAAGTCTATTTGTGTTAGAATAGATGCTCTCTTGTGATTGACCCCTAAGAGTCACATGTCTGTTCGTCACGTGATCAGTAGCTCAGTTCATGTCAGCCGTTTGTGAGAGTGCATGTCCAGCTAAACTAGCCTCTCTATCCAGCGCCATCCTCCTGTGTATGCGTTGGCTCAGCTTTGTTTGTAAGTATTTTAGTTAATCATTGGCCATAGCAATATTATATGCTCATATTTTATTGTATTTCATTTGTGTTGTGAAGATATTGAAAGGAGCAATTCTGTGTTGTTTAATTTGCAGTTTTACATGATAAAGAACTTCTCGGCTGGATACAAAGCTGATTCTTTAATTAAACAAGCGTGCAAGCTTGAAATCCACTTTACGTTTTCTCTTCATTGAAGCTATCCTTTGCATTACTACAGTCAAGTTCTTGACTAGCTATCTGGTGATGTGTGCCCTGCTACGCGCTCAGGTACCAGAATACATTTCCAACCTCTAATAATACTAATTGGTGTTGTATTATATGTGGTTGGAAAGCCTGATTAGAGGTATAACTTGTAAGGATCGTGCATTTGTGGAATGAGCAACACAGCTAAACGTGTGGGTAGTGCCCAAAACAAATGTGCCAAAATCCCCTGCAATATTCTTCTGTTGGTATTCACTCCTGTTTTGAGTTCCTTGGTGGACTGGATGATTGCACTCTCCCACAGTAATAAGGAACAAACAACACATATGGCCATTTTTACACTTGACTCATTTTAAACTGTCAGGGACCTTAGTAGCATGTGGAAGATCCATACGTAACCACAACAGCTTGGAACCTCCTCCTCATGCTGGTCACCAGCCTGGTCACATTTTGTTATGGGATGGCACCTCATTCCTCAACAAGAAGTTGCTGAGAGCAACCAGCATGGTTGTGTTGGTCACTCTAGCACGTACAGCACGCCCAAGCTGATCGTACAAGTGTTCAATTGGGTTGAGGTCTGGACTCACGGTGGGCCATTCCATCATCTCCACTCCCAAATTCTGGAGGTATTCTGTGATGATCCTGGCTCTTTGTCATCCAGGAGGATGGAGTAAGGATCCAGCTTCTGGAGATATGGTATTGCCACAGGCTCCAGAATCTCCTTCCAATTTCTCACTGCATTGAGTTTGCCTTCAGTGATGACAAGTTCTGTTTTGCCTGTGAGAGAGATACCACCCCACACCATCACACTGTCCCTATTGAAAGATGTCACGCGATCTACCAACAAAAGAATATTGCAGTGGAATTTTGGCACTTTTTTTGGGGTGCTACCCAGTGGAATAAAGGAGGGTGATGAGGATGCGATGAAAGAAGACAGCAGGATAAAAGAAGGAGACAGCGGGATGAAAGACCAAACACCAGGTCTTCAGTACTAACAAATATTAACCGGTTTTAACAATCCTTTGTGGAGCGATG